AGTAAACGGCCTGGATGTTTTCTGAAGTAGACACCTACAGCTGCCTTGGCCAGTGTAAAGTTATTTCCAGTTTTTGGGGGGGGTTGTCCTGCCTCTTAGGCTCCATGTTACATTAATGTTATTCTTAATCTGAAGTCTACAAGGTGAAAAAACAACAGACAAAGAACATTTTCTGTTTTTGTCCCAGAAGTTCCCCATTCTGCTGAGTTTGCGAACATCCTGTTTTGTTAAACCTAAGCTTTTTACTACATTCACACAAGAAATTAAATCTTCAGCTCACCCTTAAAGAGGACCTTTTAAATATTGTTTTAATGACAGGTGCTTATATAAGACAAGTTTAAAATAATTAGGTCAGAATATGTACAAGTGCTCAAGGACCCACTCACATCCTGGGCCACCTGATCTCAGGAATTCGCATGATAAGGTGGGGCCAGGTTTCACAATGAGCTCACCCGAAACTCTGGCTGATTGGGACCCACACCCAGTTTCACACCTTGGCTCAGGCGATTAGAGGATCATCAGGGGGTCCTTTTGTCCCTCTGTGGGGGGTTACTCCCACTAGGTTTATATCTGGGACTCTCCACCATTTGACCTTAGAACTGAAGAAGCTTCTCGGATGAGATGTGAAACGTCTTCAAGCAACTTAAAGAAGTCCAGATGCTTTTCTTTGCAAGCTCCTTTGACTAAGTGCTCACTTATTTTCTACATTAACCCATGTATGTAACACCACGCAGAGGGGATATCGCCAATATGGTCATCTTAGGACACGTAGGGGCTGAGGACCAGTGAGCAATCAGCTGGCAATCACAGGCCGTACGGTAAAAGTGTGTATTCCTTGATCAGTTTGTGAGTGAGTCTCCTCCTTTGTTGCCACAGACACCAGCAGTTTGCAGACGGCGACTACAATACTCGCAAAGCACCAAGCGCAAAACCTTGCAACAAAATGGAAAATGTTCACCTCCAAGTAAGAAATTATACCACACTGGTCTAACCAACGCATTTCAAAAGGCACAACTTTTACTTTGTATTCTCCCATTCCTGGTTATACTTTTTCCGTTAAACACTCTTTCCGAGTTTCACTACAGCTCAGACAGAAATTTCTTCCCGTGCAAACTATGGGCCACTGAAGGATTCTGTTGGTGACCAAAAAAGTCACAAGGAAATATATGGTGCTGCACCTAACCAGCTGACCTCATTCACCTGGCAAGCAGCAGCAACAACTTGCCAGCTAGTAGGAGAATACACATTTTCCTCTTTGACACTTGTTGCCAAGTAGGTAACAGCTCGCCAGCAGGAGGTGAACTCAGCAAAATTCTCACAAAAGTGAGTACACCCCTCACACTTTTGTAAATATTCTGTTATATCATTTCATGGGACAGCACTGAGGATATGACACTTTGATACGATGTAAAGTAGTCAGTGTACAACTTGTACAACTGTGTAGATTTGCTGTCACCTCTAAATAAGTCAACACACAGCCATTATGCCTAAACTGCTGGCAACAAAAGTGAGCACACCCCTAAGTGAAAATGTCCAAACTGTGCTCGACTAGCCATTTTCCCTCCCTGGTGTCATGTGACTCATTAGTGTTACAAGGCCTCAAGTGTGTTGAATATGGTGTTATTGCTCTCACACTCTCTCATATTGGTCACTGGAAGTCTAACATGGCACATAATGGGAAAGAATTCTCTAAGGAACTGAAAAAAGGAATTGTTACTCTACATAAAGATGGCCTAGGCTATAAGAATATACCCAGCACCCTGAAACTGAGCTGCAGCAGTTTCAGGGTGCATACATACAGCCGTTTAACAGGACAGGTTCCACTCAGAACAACCCTCAAAGAGCACATCAAGAGTGTGTGGTGGCAACCAGGTGGGGAGTGCAAAGACAGGTGTGTCTTGCCTACAGTCAAGCATGGTGGTGGGATGTCATTTTTGGGGGCTGCATGAGTGCTGCTGGTACTGGGGAGCTACAGTTAACCATGAATGCCAACATGTACTGTGACACACTGAAGCATGATCGTGTACTTAAACTGTATCTTGGCTGATGTCGCTAATGTGTCTATATTAACGGCAGTGCTGATTTTGTCTTTGTGTGTTAAAGATTTCCAATCAGTGAAACATGGAAACCTGCATTTTGATGCCGCCCGGTCTCTGTTTCACAGCGTGTGGCTATAATTGCCTGTGATTCCCTTTAAAGGTTATCTGAAAAGGACAGCTCTCTTTTGTTGTTTGTTTTTTGAACTCAATTTCCGATGACCAATGACACTAAAAGGTACTTTTTATTTTTTCTTAGCTAATTTTCAACCTTTGGAATACGCGCAGTGACATGACGAGGACATTCACCCAAATTGGCCAACTTTCCACCACAGTATGACCTTTGATCCCTAAGAGATACATCTATTTGGTGGACTCAAGTATGTAAGTGAAAAAGGCCACTTCCTAATATGTCATTTACACTTCCTGTTTAATGCACGCCACCAATACGGCATGTAATGATGTGATTTTTCATGCAATAATACAAAGAGGAGGGAAATGTTTCCTTTAACAGATATTCCCCACAGTCACTCACCTGACTCCAAATCATGTTGATGAGATAAATATACACTTTTTGTTTTGCTCGATTGTGGCACTGATCACATGTTTATCCTCATGTTCAATCAGCTGTCTGTCAAGTGATGGTGTAACTGTATCAGGGGTAAAGGCTGGACCTGCACATTTACAAAGTCAAACTCCATGTTACTTTACAGCAAGTGTGGGAGGAAACCTCTGACAAAAAAAATGTAATTTATGCAATGCAGGAATTGATGGCCCAGAGATTACAGAAGTAAATGCGAAACTGGGAAAGCCTACATGCTCTGGTAGACATAAAAGGTCAAAGAGTATAAAATTTACTGTCAGTACTGTATGTCTTAGTCACCCTCCTTACTCATAGCAAGTAAACCTAAACAAATTCAAAGTGAAACCACCTCTGGAAAGATTTTCTTTGCAGCTGAAACACAAATCTCTCTGCAGAGATGCTCATCTGTGCGCCATCATAATGATACTAATTTGAGTCTAAAGCTGCACTCTTTGTGCAGTGAATAACAAAATCAAAGTGTTTGAATAATGACCTTGTCAGCTGGCAACAGAAACAAACAAGACGATACACATCTACCAGGAGTAAGGGCATCTGCTTTTCGTGCAAACAGTCAGTCGCAGCAAGCTTTTAAGCTACAAAACAGTTAATAAAGTTTATTTCAGAAAAGATTATTTCCCAGTAAATTTTTATAACGATACTAAAGTCACAATGGTTCCTAAACTTTGGGGTTGGCCCCACTGATGGGGACTTTCTCTCCCCACAGCAGGTGGAGAAAACATGGACTGAAACTAAGCAGTATAACCTGAGGGGGCTTTACTGACTTCTACTGATGAAGATCTTGTTAACCATCATTTCACATGGACATGCTTGAAATAACTACTGAGCAGCATTCGGTGCTTTACAGAAACAGATAACACACACACTCACACACGATACAATCATGTGTACATCACACACACAAACATCATGTTGTGAATTTAAACTGAAAGATAAAAAAAATAAAAGAAGCTGGTTTATCAATTAAAATGGGGGCAAAGTCAAGTTAAAAGTAAAGAACAGTTCAGCAGCTAAAAAGGGAAAAGTCTTTGACACAAATAAAAGAGCTAAATTGCCTTCTGTTGTGATTCGGCTCCGTACAAATGAAATTAAACTGAACCCTTAAATTAAAAGTGTAAATTAAAATATTTTTAACAAGAAGCTATTCTGCTTTTTTTTTTTTTTTTAAATCACATGAATAGTAAAACTGCGTTTTTATTACATTTAAGAAATTTTGGAAGTAAGTTTTTTTGGTTTTTTTTTAATGTTTGTGTGGAACGATTATAGAGTGCAGCAAAAATAGCTACTGGCATGTTTAGGCCGATGCTGACCAGTCACTGCAGAATTCAGCAGAATGTGTAGAAATGACTAAGAAACAGCTTTATGATCCAAATGTATGTAGTTATTTAGGGGTTTTTAGATTGAATTTATTTAGAAATTGATTTTCACTACCTCGACACTTAAAATTTCCCACCCGGAGCTCCTTTTTCCAGGTAAATTATGATCTCCATTATGAATGCTTCCCATCTGATCTAATCACTGGATTGTTTAAATGTGTGAGAATGATTTTCTAGAAGCTCAGCAGATAAACATGATGGTGGGTTACTCCACAGACCATTATGAGAACAGTCATGAGTCATTTTTCTGTTGGATCTGGAGTCGGGACACAAAGAGCTACAATAAACGGAAGCCAAGAACTGGAGGATAGAGCAGAACGACAAAGGGACATCCTGAAAGATAAGGTGCAACACTCAAGCTGAGTGCTCCTTCACTACTCTGCTGAGAGAGAAGCCTCGGGCTCGTAGTGTCACAGTGGCGACACCCATCTTATATATACGGTCTACGCTCTCATCTCTAACCCTCGGCTGCAGTGCAGCAAAACACCAGTTTAAAGAAAAACTGGTTGTGCGCTGAGAACCATGGTGTTACTCAAGAGTTGCACACAGGTATTCTTATGATTGGGTGACACTACTGACACAACCACAAAAACAAGAGAACCCTGCCACAGAGTCTGCTGCACACTGTTTCACACGCCGTCCAACCCAGACACTGTGGTAAAGGTGCTTTCAGAACATGCCTCTGACTGGCTGAAGTACGACGCCACGTGTGGCGTCTTGCAAATGGACAGGGACAGAGTTTCGAAGGCACATATGTGTGTCAAACAGAATGAAAACAGCGTAGATAAAATCAACTAAACTTTCCCTTTCAGAGTGATCTCAATGTCAAAACAACGTAGAACCACGCAAATGCCAAAGAAGGTTACTCTGGAACGCTGCACCACAACTAAACCTTTTTTTCCAAAGATAATTTGCTGATAGAGTTTATAGTGGTCTTGTAGCAGTTTCAGTCACTCTTGCACACTTCACCCATTATGGAACTCTTACCTTTAGTTCCAAGAAACTGAAGACGCTGTGCCTATCTCAGGCTCCTCCAGTCTGCAAAATAGCACAGACTAAACAGAATGATAAGGGCACAAAGAGATTCAGTCACAACCAGCAAGCAAGGACAACCAGGGCGCACTTTCAGTATATTTGACCAGATTCATATGCTGAGTTCTTTTTTCATTTCAATAATTTAGGCTTTTACACTTTCTTGTGAAATAAAGAAGCCCTACAGGAAATTTGTAAGTTGTAATCTTGACTTCCACAAAGTGAAAAACATAATAATAATAATAAAATACATCCAGCGGTTGCATTTCTCCTCTAATATTGTTGCTTCTTGAGGTAGAAACTGTGGTCATCTTGGAAAGTCTTTTGAAAATTCAAGTGGTTAATGGGATTTTTTTCATATTATTTGTTGTAAATGGACACACATGCACATTTTGGTGCTTGCATCCACTTTTAAAAGATTGTTAGAGTAATACCCCCACAAGACTGAGGAGGGAAAGTTTAGCTGCAAAGAGTGAAACCTGATAAAACTAGACTTTTTTTAAAAAAAGAGGAAGAAATTCTCAGTTCTCTAGTGCAGCCAGTAAAGGTCATATCTCCTCTTCCTCAGCAGTACCAGCACATGTTAAATGCAAAACTGTTCAGTGCTTCATAAATGTAAACAAATCAGCATGAATGAAGTCATGTAGGTGATTACATCAGCCAGCAGGTATGACCAGGTGGAGTTTCCATAACCTGTCCTGCTACATGTGCTTCCGGTGACGCGTTTCTCTTGTTTTCTTCTGGTTATTAATCATTTTAAATGAAAACCTTTTCAAATTATTCATGTAAAATCACATTTAAGGCTTGAAATTGACCCTCAGAGACACAAATAGCACATGTAGGCTTAATACGCCTTTAAGCGCATTCCATAGTTAAAGTTTGGTAAGTATAAACACAATATACTCACCACATGGTTAAGTTCTGTGCATGTAGTTAAAGACAACCAGACAAGCACTAACAAGTCAGATTACCATGAGAATAATTTCGAGGTAGAACTGAAAGTGAGCATGCCCAGTACGTCAGTACAGGAGCCAAACCACAACAAAGCTTTCTAGGTGCAAGTTGAAGCAGGAAGTCATTCTAATACACACTTTGCAACTGACACACAGGTACGGCAAATATCTGGGTCGCCTTTCACTGTGAAACGGGTCTGATGAGCCTGTGGGGTTTGAATGTTTCCCTGTGTGCCCTCAATGTGGCAACATAATAGAATTTCCCTCCTCACAGGAATGATACAATCCCTTAAAAATACAAAGGATCTTTCTCTGATGTAAGCAAGCAAGGAATTTATTTATGTAGCACATTTCGTCATATAGTTTCAAAGTGAGATTAGTGAGATGGTAATGGCCTGATTTTAAGGCCACTGGAAGTGGAAATGTATCCAGTAAAGTCTGAAAGATTTGAACACACACACACACACATACTGACACAATGTTTGCACAAACCAGCTTCTTTTAAGCTTCATTGTCTCGGTGGTATTTCTTCCACTACACCCGGCTCATTTATTTCTTATCATTTACTTAAATTGATGTGACCCCTGAGTCAGCTTGCTTCATGGATATGGCTGAATAACGTTAAGCTTAAGATAACCATCAAATCCTGTCTGTTATGCGGAAGAAAAATGAGGAGGCAAACCACTTAATCATAAGTGAAGCGTAACTTCTTGGCAGAGGTTTGTAGGCCACCAGACTGTAGAGTCTAGAAAGAGCGGAAGCCACGCTACATTTGTGGTAGAACCTCATATCGACCTGGTTTATTCCCTTACACATCTGAGCCCACATACCCCGAAGAGGGAATGACAAGAAGGAAACCAAAACTATAAGATGTGGATTTTTTGCTTCTTCTAAACCTGCACCTGTGCATGTGTCATCACACACATCTGAATACGAGGCTCAGCTCATAATCCTACACTAAACAACTTGTTCGCCTACAACAGCTTCCCCTCCCTCAACATCCTCCCACCCGGCTTCCTTCCAACCTTTCCTGCCCTGAGCTTATCTGAGCCGGCTTTACTGCTGAGCTTCACCGTGCGATGACCGCATATTCCTGGGATTGCATGATGCAACCAGGGAGCAAAATCAGCAAAGAACAAAAAAAAGCTTTTTGATGGCTTTACGGATACCATGAGGGTTACATGTGGGGAATGTGTCACCGTGTTTTTGGGACTGGCCTGACAAAGATTCGGAAAGTCAGGAAAAGGGAAAGGCACAAAGATACGAAAGCTCAAACTGAGGAGGTTTCATTTTCGGTGATATTTTTCCCAGTTCAATGAAAAGAGGCATTTGTGAAATCCGTGGGATTCAGTGAGTCATATGTTAAAGGTCACACTTTCTTTTGTTGGGAAACTATATATCCATACAGATTTAAATGAGCTGATTAGTAAAGGCAGGGGAAATCACAGACAAACACATTTTTAGAAAAGGAAATGAGTGTAACTTTGTGTCTAGATTCTTTATTTATATTCAGGTATTTCACAGTAATTGTTTACAGTGAAGAAGATCTATTTCTTCCATTTGGTGGAGAAGGACTCCTCCGTGTCTATCATGGAAAATGTTATTCCGAAGTTTGTCTATTCACACTGCGAGGTGCATACTGTATTTTGATGTTATTTTTCTCTCATGGGAACTAGCAAAACATATAAACAAGAAGATAACACAAAGCCACACAGGTTGATCACAGAGCGGTTAGTGGACGATCACAGAGGGGGAAACAAAAGAAGTCAAAAACGACTACAAACAAATAAAAATAAAAAATCAGAAAGTGGAGGGAAAAAAGGGGGGGGGGGGGGGGGTAACCCAAAATCAAAACAAACAACCAATACAAAATCAAATCTGGCAAAAAGATGAGCACAAAGACAAAAGGAACCACGACAAAAACCTAAAAGACTACAAAGAGTAAAAAGTAATGACTAGAAAGCAAAAGTGGCAATAATAATGAGATTCAAAATTCTTTTTTTTAATGTGTACAATGATCCAAGGGATGGTCACAGAAACCAAACGAAACAATACGGAAAATGCAAATAAGCACAAAAATGGCCAAAAAGTGATGATGAAAAAAAGAGGCAAAACATAATCACAGTATTACAGCTAGGAACATAAAGTCACAATAAAAATGCAAAATAACACTAAACAGACAGAAAACTGAAAATAACTGCATTAAGGAGGCACCCAATCACCACACACCACTGAAAACCAGCCCTAAAGGCATAAAAATGACCACAATGACCAGAATAAATCACAATAAAAATGCAAATTGGCTACAAACAAAGGAAAAGATTGTCGTAGGCCTAATACAGAGAGGCAATAAATCAGAAAACAACCTGCTAACCTCACGCGCATGCCTCTGGATGTGGGAGGAAGCCTGACTACCTGGAGAGACAGAGAACATGGAGCGTGCACTCAGAAAGGCCCCAGCCAGGCGGCAGATTTGAACCAGGGACCCCGTTACTGTGAGGCAACAGTGCTAACCACTGCACCCCTCGCAAGAAGGTTAAAAAGAATGACCACATTATAATTTTTCAGGATTTAAATATATCAGAGAGTGTAACATATCATGGCCAAAATACAATATTTTATTTTCATATTTTCAAAAGACCAAAAAGTAGTTTAACTGATTAACACCAATGCGACCACAGAGTCTCCAACACCGCTACTTGAAGTGATCCTACACACAAATATTTGTGCTATAATTAAGTCTGAGTTTGGTTTTTATTCCTGTTTCATTGGGAAATACGAAGAACCGGTGTCTTTATGTAAGCTGAGTCTCACATAAAGACACTGATTCAGTGTCTTTAGAGTCGGGGATGGTACCTATAGACGAGCTTCCTGTCTTTGCACACCGGATATCATAACCAAGAGCTTCTTTTGGAGAATCTCGTTATGAATAATCGAAAAGAGGTGGGTGAGTGAGAGGGAGGAACTGTAGACAGTATGCATGCATTTGACAGTGTGTGTGTGTGTGTGTGTGTGTGTGTCATGTGGGTGCATATGATAATGGTGAAAATGATATCATCCGGCAACATCTTGCGGTTGGTTTGTGTTTGCATGTTGGAATGAAAAAGTCAAAGCCAGACACGGAGGTGCAATTTCACTGCTGATTTCACACATGACATGCACACACTTTCTGCTGCGTTAATATTCAGCGTCACAGCACTCCAGTCCTTTCAGGTTTATAAGATACACACATTCACAATCCCCCCGATGACACACTGGTGGCTCCCCCTTCCACACTACCGAAGTGATAATCAAGCATCAAGAATATATTACTGAGCAACTTGGCCCAAAAACAAAACAACAAAAACAACCATACAATACACAAAATGACCACAGAGTCAAAAGGATCACAAAAAGGAACACACAAAATCCGATACATAGAAGAGACAAAATAAAACAAACATGCAAAAAAACTATCAAGAAAACATTTAAAAAATGACATTTAATCAAACAGAGACAAAACTAACAACAAAAATGTGAAATATTTGCACAAAATGGCCAAAGAGACAAACAAAACCAACACACGCAGCAACAAAAGAAACACAAAATAACACAAAGTCAGAAAAAAATGACCAAAAAAGATGGAAAATAACCCACACGAGACAAAAATGAGAAAAAAAGAATGGAATAAAAAATCATGGAATATTGTTACAAAAAGAAACGCAATGACTAAAGAGAGACAAGCAAGACAACATGCTCACCATCATAACAACACAAAACAGACATGCAAAATAACCAGGAAGAGATGGGAAAAGATCAAATGTTACTGGAAACAACACAAAACAACCAACAAGTAGATTTGTTTTATTTTTACTTTGAATTTGATTCAATTTTATTAATAAAGCACCAAATCACAACAGTCGCCTCAAAGAGCTTTATATAGGAAGGTAGACCCTACAATAATACATACAGAGAAAAACCCAACATTCATTTTGCAGACTGGGTTTACTCGCTTCACAACAGTTTTTATTATAGAAAATCTTTAGTTTTAGTTGTAATTTGTATTACATCCAGCCTTAGTTTTAGTCTCCCTGCATATGAAGGACATGTGTTGGAGGCAAAGCTCAAAAAGAAATTAGTGCAGGTATGACAATAGGTAATAAAAAAGCAGAACTGATTGTGTTGGTTCACAGTCGGCATCCAAAGTCTGACTAAACATCATCCTGCGTTTCCATTTTATTCTAGTTAGTTTTTGTTTTTTTTGTGAAATGTCTTTTTTTTTTTTTTTACTTCAGTTTTAGTTTTGTTTTAGTCAGCTATAATAACCTTGTCACAAAGTCGGAAAAAAAACAAATATAGATAAGATTAACTAGATACATACACAGCAACAAAAAACCCAAAATCATGATGACCTAAGGTCACCACAGAGATATCTAATATAACAAGAGAAAAGTAACCGCAAAAGACATGAGACACAAAATGACTGCAATGTGACAAAAAATCGAGCACCAAAAAAAGATCCCAAACCGCAAATGCACCCACACAAAAAACCTAAATGACTACAAAACAAATACGAATACAAAGAAAGTTCTGTTTGGGACGGGGCGGCAACTGTTCAGCAGATTTGGTGTCAAAGGCGATCAGCTGTAATGAAAAGGTGGTTCTAAAAATCTGACATCCACCTGAAATCCACTGATGGGCTTTGCATGAAAATCATCGGAGCCACTTCACTAAAGGCTACAAAGAATTTGGATTCTCTATACAGTTTCTAAATCTTCGGCCAAATGTGGCTATCTTTTTAATAAGCTCTACTTGAAACATCTTTGGGATCTCCCACAACAACCACGCACAACAACTATTTAGGTACTTTAGCAGTAGCTCATTGCACCGACCCCAGGGGCCAAGCCACTAATTTTTGCCTCCTGTAAATTTAGTCGGCGTGGCAAGCAACCCAAACTCTTACTGATATGAGTTCATTTTAGATGATTTTAGTTACATTTCAATAGGCCTAAGCTGCTGGGGGCTTCCCATGAGACACTGAGTGGCTCTTCTTGACTCACATTTTTTCACTCTTTGAGTTTTTATCCGCCACTCTGCATTTAATTAGTAGTAATTATTAATCTAAAGTCTTCCTCCCCTCACCCTTCAATGAGCCACGGCAGATGGCTTACCCTTCCTGACCCTGGCTCTGCTGGAGGGAGTTTTTCCTTGCCAAAGTCACCGAATGCTTGCTCGGGGTTGTCTGCTTGCTGGGGTTTTCTGCCTATTACTGTGGGGGCTCCACCTTACAATCTAAAGTGATTTGGTGTTATACAAACTGAATTGAACTGATTAGCATTTAAGCTCTGTAATTTGTTTTAAAGAGATGATGGAGTGCTAAAGCATAAGCTAATGCGAGCAACCTTAGCCAAAAAAAACAAGATTATGTGTCAATTAATTTTAAGCTGGCAAACACTGTGCAATTTTTGGCCCATTTTGAACCGATTTTTCAGTCGTGCGACCGTTTTGGGGATTCGCCTTAATTGTGTGTCGTGCATCGTGTAATATATGTGGGGTAACGAGAAGCGACCTCACAACCAGCTCCCGATCATCAGTCGTTTGGTCATAAGAAAATCAAACCTGTTTGAAATCCTGTCGGCCGTCGTGAGGGTGTCACCGCAGCTTCTCACACTGCGCACGTGCAGACAGAAATGAAAGTGGAAAGGTGGAGTAGCGCGGCAGTGCAGCATGTGAACTTTGTCAAGCTCATCTGAGCCTTTTTGATGTGGCCTCACAAAATGATCACGACCGCGCCAACCGTGAAAATAGTTGGATGGACGTTGCTGCTCAATCACAGCTGCATGATCAGTGTTTTTCATTAGCAATTTAGCAAAGTTGATGGTGGTGGTGTGTGTCTGTGTGAGTGAAAGACAGAGAGGGAGAGCGAGAGACAGATTTTGTGTTATA